GAGACAGGATCTTCGCAATGCAGGGCCAACCTGGAAAGGAGCTGAGGGGGCTGAAAGGATGGGAGCGGGCGATCTCGCAGGGAGAGGGAACTGCCTAGTCCAAGAAAAAGAAAAAAAAAAAAAGAGGTGGAGGTCGCCGGGGTGAAAAGAGAAGTCTCTTTGCAGAGTCCCTCAGGCGGGGTCCATCCAGCAGGGCTTGCAAACAGACAAATGAAAATAAATCGCAGTCGTGGGGTTGCGCGCCTTTTCGTGGGCCGAAAGGTGGCCCTTGCCTCCCCTCCGAAACGCGTGTCCAGGTGTATGTCCTTCAAGCCACCGCGTCTTGGAGGCAGCGGGGCTTTCCCGGTCCTGAAAGGATGCTTCGGATGTAGGAACTTTAAAAAGTTACCCCGGGTCCCCTCCTCACCCAAAACGAGGCCGATCGTTTGTAGGGTTAATGAAAAACAAATCAAAACAAAACAAAAAACCCCAATGAACCCATGAGCGGATCTGACATACTCGGCAGTAAGTCGTGTTCAACTTCCAAGTGAATGTCTCAGGGTTTCGGTTTGGTTGCGCTTGCTCAAACCTCCGATTGATTTGTACTCGTGTCCTTTTTTTTTTTTTTTTTTTGGATGAGAAAGCCTGCCCCCGACACGTCCTACAGTCCTCGTTTCTCCTACAAAGAATGAAATGTGGGTTTTTTCCCCCATACAAGGCCAGAGACTGGGATGGCTGAAAAGACAGTAATTTTCTACTTTGTCGTCCCTTCATGAAGGATCTGATGAAACAATGCTTTTTCCCCATGACATTTTCCCTACCAAACCACAAAATATTTTCAGGCAGCCACTGGATTTTTTGCTTTGTTTTAGTTTTATTCATAAGCTAACGCTGATAATACCCAAGCAAAACATGGCCCATGGACATTTTCTTAACAGATGCGTGAAAACCTGAGCATACCAGAGGGGAAGCTGAGGCTTTCTCAAATCTGCTAAGAAAATGCTAAAAATAGTCTGCCCGAAATGCCTAAATTTGCTAAATTAGAGGGCAATGTGGAGAGGGAGGGTTTTGTGGGGAAATTCTCCACTATTCAGCACTAAGTTCTCAGGAAGCAGCCAAATGTCATATACAGTACTGTATGTGCACGCATGCACACCCATACTCTCTCTTCTTGAATGTACATACAGTATTTGGATGTGGTTGCAGTTATAACACTTGGAAGACGTTAGGTAATACATTGTTGTAAGAATTATAAAAGTTTTGCCCAAAAATACAATGGGAGAGATATAGTTTATGCCTTTGATTCGAATAGATTTTGTACAAAATGGCAGATTTTCTGTATTATCTTATCAATATTCTTGGACTTCTAAAGAAATTTAAAGACCGTGTTTCCCCAAAAATAAGACAGGGTCTTATCGTAATTTTTGCTCCAAAAAAGGCATTAGGGCTTATTTTCAGGGGATGTTTTATTTTTTTCATGTGCAACAATCTACATTTATCCAAATACGGTCCTGTCATCATCTTCTGGTTGCTGCACAATGGTGGAGGGTGGAGTTTCACTTAACTGGGGCTTATTTTTAGGGTAGGGCTTATATCATGAGCATCCTGAAAAATTATACTAGGGCTTATTTTCAGGTTAGGTCTTATTTGTGGGGAAACAGGGTGGTACCAAGACTCATCAGCTAGCCACCAGAAGAAGGGGGTGCCTATGCTTAGGTTTTCCCAATATGGTTTTTCCTGTTCTACATTTCCTATACTCACCTTTTCCATTCCATTCTGCAATGTCCGGTTCTCTCAATTACTGCAGCCGGCCAGCTGAAATCCTATTGCTTGTTGCAGTAAATGGCACTAGAGTAAAACCCATTGAATTAATAGGGATTTGGTGATTCAACTCCTCTGTAAGTTCCATTGATTCAAATGGTCCTACTATATGGTTGTTGTGGGGTTTTTTGGGCTGTTTGGCCATGTTCTGGAGGTTTTTCTTCCTAATGTTTCACCAGTCTCTGTGGCCGGCATCTTCAGAGGACAAGAGCAAGAACTCTGTGTTCTGGTGTAGTGTGTGGGGTTGTTGAATATTTGTAGCTGTGGGTTTAGGCTTTGTTCTTTTCAGGAGATTGGGGGATTCCTGTGATTAGGGTGTTTTTCTTATGGGTGTATTGTTGTGATAAGGGGGGAGATGACCTGTCACTTCGAGAATACATTGGTTCTACTATAGTTGTGACCTACTTATAACTAGAGTAAGCCAATTTGAATGCATTGAACTTACAGAGGAACTGAATCACCAAATCCCCATTGCTTCAATGGGCCTACTCTAGTACAACTTATAACAGGATTTCAGTCAACATATGTAATGACATGGGATGTGGTTCATGAAAGCTTATGCCAAATGACACTTGTTAGGTCTTTCTGCTGTTTTTGCTGCAACAGCTTAAACATGGCCATCCCCCCTTGCAATCTGTATGTACCTGTCATCTCCCAACAACCCCTCATGGATAAAAGGAGGGCTATGTTTGCCATTTGTGGCATGCTGATTTGGAAGTAAGCTCCTCTGAACATGGTAGAAGTGCCTTGTGTGATGCATAGTAAGCAATTGCTATACGAATGCTATGCCAATGCTTATTATCTGAATTCCCTCCAGCCTCGCTCACTGTGTATGTGCATGGCTGAAAGCTTTTTTGCATTCACTGTAGGATCCTTTAAACCCTAACCTGCCCACTCACTTCATGTGGATCCATGTGGTTCCCCATTTTCTTTAGCACGTGGGTCATCCCACATTTGCCTTAGCATGTGGGTCATCCCACATTTCCCCCTTAGCACATGGGTGGGGAGTGTTGTCCATTGGTTAACAGGTTCCTTAGCTGGCACCTGGATACATTCTCCATGCTGAACTGAAAATACGAGCTGTGACTGAAAAGGCCATGACCTATTTCTGCTTTATAACTTTATTCCTGTTATAAGCACCTATTAAGTTATTCTGCCATACCCCTGACTTTTCCATCTCTCTGGCCATCCAAGCCACAAAAGGGAACCCCTACCACTTTCTGTACCAAACCATACAACTTGAATTGTACATCTTTGTGGCATCTGCCCAGGTCATGAATATTAATATGCTATCTGCATGGACCAATGGGTGTGCTGGAGAGGCGGAGTCACGAGATGTAAGAGTCTCTGCAGGGGTAGGACAAAGTTAGATTGGTGATTATAGGATTTGTGTTTTGGGAGTCTGGAGATTGAGAGTGTATGAAGAAGGATGTTTTATTAAGAGTTAACCACATCGATTATACCTTCATCACCTATAACAATAAACAATTTCTATTTGTTTTTTTTTTAAATGACACATTGCCTGGACCTCTGTGATTATTAATAAACAATGTTGATGTAATCAATTGGTGGCAGCTGAACGACACGTAGCTTGTGTCTTTGTGTGGTAAAACAACCAAGGGCAGGTGGGAATGTGACAATCTTTTTCTCTATATATATGATTCCTGTATATTAATAAAAAGAAGAAAAAGAAAAGAAAAAAATCTTTAACTTGTGGGGGGGGGACCCTAAACTGGCCTTCATCCTTACATCCATCTCTGCATATTTACAGGTGTTACCATGCCTACTTACTGAAAGAAAGCTCCAAGAAGTGACTCAGACAAAGAATCATGAGTAGCATATCTCACTGTGTAATCCCATTATATCATTCCGATATAGATAGGGCCAGCCCAGTCCTTAGCAGGAGGAAGCAACTGCCTCAGGAACAAAATGTAGAAAATGCAGCAGTGGCAGCCAACCCCCATTGAGGCACACAAGCTTTCCCCTTGCTCGGAAGACAAAGCTGTATGGTCTGCTCTCTTGTCTATGAAGGATATTATCTCATTGCAAAGTTTGATGCAGTGCTTAATGGTCAGTTTAGTTGGCTGCTGTGCATGGAATGTAGGCGGTACCATGTTCTCTGCCTCTATAGCAAAATGTTTGTGGCCAGCTCTCAATGCAGAGATGCTCCAGAATTTCCCAGAGAGTGGAAATTCTTCTTCTTCTTTTTACATTTTTTAAAATCTCCCAGCCACCATAACCTACCCCTAGCAGATGCCAATGCAGAGGAGGCAATGACTTCTGCAAGACCTGTGGTCCAAACGGCCTCAGTTAGGGGTGAGTGCTTTGGGCTGCTAGGAGCATTGATGTAATGAACCTCTTGCTAGATTTGTCTAGCACATAGTCCGGGGAACTATTCAGTGAGATGATTGGCAGGGTCTTTCTAGTCTTCAAGCCCTCTAATTCTATGCATGAGAAAAAATGATATGAAAGGATACAGCAAATTCATAGGACGCATGTAGAGATAAATTTGCTTTGACTCTGTAAGCTGAAAACCATTCCAAGCTGCTCCCCACTGATTCCGCATGCGGAAAACCAAGCAGCCTTCTTAAGTGTAAAAGAGATGCCCTTTGAGCAAGGAATGACATCATTTACGCTGAATGCTCTTCTGAACTGTTTTAAGCATTCCTTTAAAATAACACGATGAATGAAAGTGGCCTCATCTGGGGAGGTGAAAAGCCCCCAACAAATTCTGATGGCTTGTCAAGAGGAATTCTCAGCTTCCAGCCTGTTGTTCGCACCACTCTCATTTTAAGTGAAAAGCAATTGAATGAAAGTTATTGACATAGCAGAGAGTCTGGGAATGAATCCAGAAGATAATTTGCTTTCCTGGGGATGCAAATATCACACTTGTGCAAGATCCTTTGCGGTTTAAGCAACAGCCTTTTTTTTCCTTTTCAAGTGTCCCAAAGAGGCAGAATGTGATGCTAAAGAGGATCTGTACAGAGAATCATGCAGAATGCGTGCCTTCCTTATTTGTGCATAGAATGTGTAATGAAACTATGTG